TTCCTAAGAATTTAAATGAAAATATTATCAACTAAAGATATGTATGATTTTTGAGTCTGCTAGTTCAATCAGTTTAAAAGGAAAAATAAAGATAGATTGCAATTTCTCTTTGATTTAAAACAAATTTAGAGGTTGGAAATAGCAGACCATGGACTTTGTAAGTCTAGGATCTCTTGTGCTCAGTTTCTTGCACTTGATTTTGACACAGGCTCAACCCTTGTTGTTCCAGTCTGTTATCCAGTCAGGGCAAAAGTTTTGTGATTGGTATTTTTAATTTGGATAGTTTATCAGATCGTTGTGTTCTGATATAATTCCAGCTGACTCTCCTTTAGAACACACACAATTAAAGGGTGTAGACAGGTATGCAAAATCCCTGGAACCCACCTGTGTCTGTCATGGTATGTTAAACCCTTCCCTCCTCTAACCCAAGAGACTTTGCAGTGAAAGGCATTTCCCATAACTCCACCTGTGTCTGTCATGGTATGTTAAATCCTTCCCTCCTCTAACCCAAGAGATTTTGCAGTTAAAGGCATTTCCCATAACCGCCAGAGCAGAACATGACTGTCTGCATATGCTCTTAAAGAGTCCCTCGCTTCTAACATTTGACAAGAATGATTAGTTTTGCATCTAAAAAGAGAACGCTGAGCTATTCTGCATGACTTTGTCATTCCTAAGCCTCCTGACACTCCACCCTCCCCAGCTCAGCTGAGTAAAGCAAGCAGAGCACTCTGAGAGGTGTTTTTATAATTGGGTGATTATAATGGGGTGGGGAGATATTGTCAGTTGCCAAGGATTTCTGTGTAATATCAGCAAGAATGTGCTGTGAACGAGTGACTTGCATTGAGTGGATTTTCACTGTATTATTCTCACCTAATGTTTACTCATGCAGGCTTATAAAAAGAGGAAACATATTTTTCAGCCCAAACCAGAAAGTTTCTGAATGAAAAACTCAAAGAGTGCAAATGCCCTTAAAACCAGCCTCAAAACCAGCCAGCTTCATTTTACTTGTTTCAGAACAGATTTCTCTTTATTCCTTCTTCAGGAGAGAGAAGGTGACAGAAGAATCTCCTTCCTTGGATCAACTTATATTTGCCTTCTTTGCCCTGACTCTGCAAACCCCTCTGTACTTCTGTGTTTCCACTTGTGCTCACACAAAGTTCCACTGTGAGAAAACATGTGGGAATGAAGTGTAACTGCAAGATTGGCTGCTTTAGCTCTGCATTCCTGTGCTTCACTGCATGCACTGCAATGAGTCTCATTAGCTTCGACTGTAATACTTCTCAAGGGCTGGATCAGGAATCTGTATCTGGGAACACTGTTGGCACTTTCTTAATACATGCCATAAAGCCATAGAAAAATGACTGAGATGATTTCTCATAACAGCACACATGCCTTTACACTTCCTTGCTATTGAAGACTGTTTCCGAGCAAATGTCAGCAGAACCTGTCAGAGTAACAGCTGTGTTAATGATTCAGCAGTCCTCAAGCAGGTTGGATCTTGCCTTTGAATTTATGTAGCTAGTGTGTCTACAAAAGACTAACAGGGCTGTGACACTGTGCTTTTGGTTTGATGGGATGTTACCCATCAAGACCAGGCATATTTTCCAGTGTCTTGGCAAGGGAGAATAGCAAGATATAAGTAATTCGTAATCTCTCTTCCTGTCTCTAACCTATCAACAATAATAAATACACCTAATTGTTATGAACTGTGGCTAGGAGCTGCCTCTTAAACCACCACAGGAGCTCCAGAGGCTCACTGTCAGTCCAGTTATTCTAATCCAGTGTGCTCAATCGAAAAGGCATCAAAGGAGATCAGTGCTGCAAGACTCAGGTAAACAATTCTTTGATATCAACAATAAGAAAAGTTGAACGTACATGGTAGTAGTTCTCTATCTGCAGTTTCTGTACAAATAGGGTAAGGGTAGAAAAGATGTCCTTTTTCCAGTGGATAGGGGATCATTCTGAAAGCTGAAAAGAAAACACCATGAACAAGTTCCTGTGAGTGTGGCAGTCATACTTGACTATATTTGCACTTCTGAAAAACAGACAAAACAGTTATACTTGGTTGCCAACAGCATATAAACTGCTTAGTGAAATACCACAATATAAATCTACACTTAGCTTTTTATCCTGCGAATGTCTACGTTTATTTTTATTCTTAAGAGAAGGTTCATGAATGCCAAGTGAGGCCACATTACAAGGACATACACAAATGTTTGCATAATCAAAGCCCATTGTACTTCCAATTCCACAGTCAAATTTACACATTTTGTCTTAGGCTTTTAGGCTGCAGAATTTTTAAATTTCAGGGGAAAGAAGTGTATCTAATATAACAGGTACAGCCTATGAAAATGATTGGACAAGCTTGTGAATTCAGGCCAATACTCACAATCTCTGTGCATCAAGCATAATAGAAGTTTTGCATGGAAAAAAGTACACTACTTTTTTTCCAGCACACTCCAGCAAGCCAAGTAACACTGATGACACAAGCCCCGAGAACCAGTTTTCCAACACAGTCATGTTTTCATTTTCTCTTTGGCTATCAAAGATTAATACTGAATTATTAAAACTAGGTTCCTCTCATGCATTCTTTTTAAATGCAGCAGATCAAGTCAGGTTTCCGATATAAATCTTCAGGTTAGGTATTAAATAATACTTAATCTTACACATATTTAAAACTGAAAATAATAACAGAGAGAGAGAGAGGGAAATGGATTACTAAATCTGGACAGTGACAATATCATAGGCCATCTGAGTGTAGGTTATGGAAACATCACAATACTTGATGAATTATAGCTTTGCAATCAAAGCATCCTTTTCCATCATCCTATATATTATTCTCACTGTTTAAAATGTCATCAATATATTAGTCTCACTACTCCTATGAACATCAGTCGCTGAAGCAGTATTTCCCTCAACAGATGTCCTAGAAGCACTGTACCTTGTATTGTAGTTGTTAGGTACAGCCCACTGCCACACAACACTCCATGATCGCTTGCTCACAAGGCAACTGAAGAATTGCCTTAAATACACAATACCTCAATATTTTCAGCTGTGCACACTGCATTTGAAATAATGTTAGATGTAATTTTTTGTGACATTATAGGAAGTGTATCTTTTTCTTGATTACTATGTTTAAAGCAATAATAACAAGGCAAAAATCCTCAAAGATTGTAAACCAACCTGGGCTGTAATGCTCTTCCAGTAATAACAAACCCTCTCCATAGCAACCCAAAAAGCCAAGCACAAATACAATAATCCAAGCTGTGTATGATCTTCACATGCAACAAACTTGAATGTCTGTACAAAAACATATGTGCAGTGATGTTCAATGTTACTTTCTTCAAAATCACTAACACAAGTTTTTTCTTCCAAATTGGCTTAATATTGAAACCGACAATCAAGCCTCTTCTGCCTTACTTTACATCACAGTAATATTAAGATTTTCATCAAAACAAAAAGGGACAGGAGAAATGTTGCTTTCATGAAACAAGTGAAATTAGTCATCTGTGACATGAGAGCAAATATGGACTATTTACAGCAAAATAGTTTTATTTAGCAATGTTATCAGCCATGGAAGAAAGTGCTCTTGTTCATCTGTATCAGTTTGTGTTTAAACAGGTACTTCTCTGCCCTACTCCTTCAGTATTACCTGATCCTATTTTACATCAGTGGATTCAGGTAGCACAGAGACAGTTTGCCATTCACCCCTGTACTTGCTGTAAGAGCTACTGTAGCATTTGAGAACCCCTAAGCTTTTCTTCATGCAAACAATAGGAATTTAGACTCAAGTTTAGATACCAAGAGTGACAATCAATTACCTCAGACTCTTTTGAAATTTGGTTACACTTGAAACTACAGACCTTCTGTACAGAGAGCCTGGCCCAAGCCCAGTGGTGTCACTTGGACTTTTCGAGTTGTACTATAAATAAAATATCTAGATACCTAGAAAGAAAGTGAGGGCAATTGACCATGTACTATATATAGACCGTTGGTTGGAACTAGTATTTAAATATATTTAATTTCTCTGTCATGTTTTTGCTTAGCGATATGCAGAGGTGCAAAGATATGGACCAAAAGTTATGATTATTGGACTAAATACTGGTGAAACCATGAAAACCCATGCGAGTCTTGTATGTGAGCAAAATGTGAACAAAATTTTTGAGGACTGGTGCACTGTTCATATTTCTCTGAAATCACTGGGCAAAATGAATTACGGATTTTTCTTTAGTAGTTATGCAACAACACTTGTTTACATCTTTACAGGCTACTACACAGATATTGGCTATTAAACTACATATTCAGACTGCTGTGGAGGTAATAAGAAGAGCAGTCAGTTAATGTAGCTAAATGGGAATACCCTACATTGCCTTCAGGCACAGATGATTAGATTCCTAAGTGGCAGGAGCACTGCAGGACAGCCAGACTCCTTTGACAAAAGCTGGTCCTGGTACAAAGCCCCTTGGGGTCTCCCCAGCCTTACAAAACAAAAGAAGATTTATTCTGCAAAATACTGCTTTGTAATGATGGGATAATGAACCTTGGGCTAAAGGACTTCTGCAGTAATCTAGAAGAGAAGGAACACCACATAAAAGGAGACTACTGAAAATAAACCACTGGGAAGGAAGCTATGACAGAGAAAATAATAGACTGGGAGAAATGATAGGAGAAGAGCAAGCAGATAGGACAGAGAACAGTGCAGCAGAGCACACCTCAGGCAGCATCGGTATGGATTACTGAGCAAAGTGTTCTATACACCTAGAAATAAAGCCAATACATCCTCAGGGAGCCTACACTACAAATTAGGCAAGTTCAGGCCATTTCATACAGTGACTGAGACAGTAAGTCACTTTTACAATGGAGGTAAGTCGTGGTTTAGGAGTGGTATTCCCCAATTTAGTGTTTCCATTGAAACCCCCCAGACCATGCGCTGCTTGCTCACTCCCCCATCCCTTCCCCTGCAGCAGGATAGAGGGAATTGGAGGCACAAAAGGTAAAAATCACAGGTTGAGATAAGGACAATTTACTAAGAAAAAGCAATGAAGTAAGAAAATGAACAGAAACACCTGTTTTAATAACAGTGTGACAGGTGAACGACTCACAATCGCTCACCACGCGGTAGCCAGCGCTGCCCAACGCACACACCACAACCCGACCCAACTGGAGCCAGAACAAAGGTATCCCTCGCCCCTTCAGCCCCCTCTGCACCACCTGGGGTGGTACAGAATAACCCCAGGGTCCTGCTGTGCCTTCCAGGCTGCTGCAAAACTTAACTCTGTCCTGGCTGGAACCAGGACAAGGCATTACATGTATTTCCATAGGAATTACCGTGGTGACCAACTATCTTTTAGATCAAAGTTAAATGAGGACAGAAAATGGTGAAAGCAAAAAAAACACCACAAAATGTATATAAGGTGGTACGATAACATATGGAGAGTCTGAAAAAGAACAGACTAAAGCAGAGCAGAAAAGGCGAAAGGCCAATTCTAAATTATATTTTTCAATTCTTTGAAACCTGATAAAAAACACATCTCAAAGATATATTAGAAGGTTAGCATATGACCTTTACAGACCATCTCATTTCAGTGCCCCTGCCATGGGCGGGGAAGCCTTTCACTATACAAGGTTGCTTGAAGCTCCATCCAACCTTGTCTTGAACACTTCCTGGGATAGGGCATGCACACCTTTTCATTATGTCCAATCTAATCTACTCTCCTTCAGTTTGAAACCATTCATTCAAATAATGACAAACAAATCTCTACAACTTCAGGATGCAAGAAGGTAAATTATTATCCCCTTATGTACCAGCAAGAAAATATGTCTCAAAGAAGATGGGAAATTTCATTCAGTATTACACAGAGAACACAATCCAAGACTTCAGAACCCTTTTTCCCATAAAATAAAGTCTGTATTTGCAGTATGAATTTCAAATATTTCAGTGCTGGTGAGGATGTAACAGATGTCCAAAATTCTCACATACTATGCCTCACAAAAACTATTATTTTCTCATGACTCATGACATTCAACAAAAATATTTGATTTGCTCCTTTGTAAAAAAGAAAATTACTTACTGCCTTCCCATGTACAGTGTAAGAGGTTCAATGCCCCCTCTACTCTTTTCCAGTGTTGAAGATGAAAGAAAGCATATGCTATTGCTTCACTGTCCCCTCTCTTCAGAATATGTTCAGGGGGCAGAATTAAGCTTTTCATTTCTAGTAGATACTGCAATAAAAAGCAGAGCACAATTATTTCAGAGGTAATAAAACACCACAGAAAGCTGCCTGCAATTCTATAATGCATACTGAAAGGTCTATTTCCCTAAAGTAATTTCTCTCATAAGTGTTTCATCAAATGTGCAACATCACCAACTGCACTTGCAGATAACTACTGAATTATTCCCAAAGACTAAGATAAGCTGACAGATGGTTAATGTTCTGCTCTTCAGCAGTAGTGTAGGGACTACAGAGTAATTCAAAACGAGATGTCTCTCTTTATCAAAGGAGAAGAAAAAAAGGGCTCAAAGCAGAAAAATGGAATTTAATTACACACGCTTTTAATTAAAAGTGTTTACAATAAAATGAAGAAGACCTTAAGCAGTTTGATGCACATAGTTTTTCTGTAAGGAAACACACACTCCTAGTTTGCACACAGGTTGCTTTACTGCATTGCCATCCGCTGGTTGCTAGGTCTATGAATACGCAAGTTGGCAGCCACCTAAGTAGCTGCTAACAAGTTACAAAGTAAAAGTGTTAAAAAATTTAACAATAACCTGATTTCCAGGGGGAAAAAAAGTACAGGATGCTGAAGCTTCTTACTTGAAATAATTACTGACAATGATAGGAAAATGAAGAGTTCCACAAGCAATTTTCACAGAAAACTTCCCCATAACTGGATCCCCCCTAGCAGATGCAGATGAAACACATGGAGGGTTCATGCCATAGGAGAAGACAGAGGTCCCAGACATTATTCAAGCAGGTGATTTTTTTTTCCCCTTCCCCAATCCATGAACTAGACTAACAGTTAACTAGATTAACTAACTAACACCAGTTCAGCAGACACCTCACCACTGGTGTTACTACATTCCAGTTAGTGGAGGGGAAAGATACAGCAGAGGGGAAAGACATAACCTTGCCTTGCTGGCATGCTTTACAGGGAAAGGAATGACAGACAGAAGACACAGACTGCTGAATCAACTTGTGTTTGTCAGCTCTCCTGAGGAGTCTAACATTTCCTAGCTGTGTGCTGACTGCTCTTCAATAGCATAGGGAAACTGTTGCTCTCCTCCAGGATGCCCAAGATCAAATGCTCACTCCCCTCCAGACTGTTTAAGTTCACACAAAAGACAGCAGATGAGTCAGTCAGTAGAGTGCCAGGCCCTAGCACAAGATTGGGAGAGGAAAGTTAAGGCTAATCCATATTAAAAAAGGAGTGAGTGTACAGCTCCACCACTTTACCCTGTGCCTATGGCTGGTCTGGAAGGATGAGGACTACAGGACCTAAGGACTGGCAACCACCTAGTGCAGGCACCCTCACAAAGGTAACCTAGCACTGGAGGTGAAACAGAGGCATGGGTGGTGTCAACCTTCCAGAGCTTCTGTTAAATTCTGAATTTTGTGAACAGGATGAGCTGGTACAGAAAAGAAGGCAAAAGAAACAAGGATTGAAAATCAGCCTTGTGGAAAGGAAAGGGCAAGGACAGAGGGGAAATGTGTACCAATAGCATGATGTTGTGGAGGGCACCCACCTTCACCTGAAGGAGCTACCAAGCAGGTAAAGGATTTGAAAAGACCATGATCAAAGCAGAGAAGTGTCAATCGTGGGAAATAAATAAATACTTCAAAGAGGAGAGAGAAATCACGCATGTTTCTGATGCAGGTAACAGTATTAAAGGAGGAGAAACGGGATTAGCAGTGGGAGTAGTTAAGTGTGATACCTGAATTTTCTCTAAAACCTTTCAGAAAAACCTGAGAGAGGTGCAGAGCAGGTGGATTAATGGAAGAAACTGTAATTTAGTAGGCAGGACAGGGGATTAACAGTGACAGAGAGAACAGAGTAACAACTGACAAGAGGGAGGGATCTGCCAGGCTTAGACTGACAGAGCAACCACTCAATGCCCTAATGAATGCCTCACCCTTTGGAAAACACACATTATACCTGTTGAACAGAATGGAATACAGATGCAAGAGCTGCAGGTTTCTACCTGTTTTATAATTTAGAACATAACTCTTCTTTACATATTTTTTTTTCAAAATTAAATGAGAAATTAAGTACTCAATATTTAAATATTTCAATCAAAGGAAAAAACCCACAAATAAACCAAAAGACATGTCACTATTTTTAGGAAAGGAAAAACCAGGATGGAATATTTCTAGGAGCATTTAGATGAAAACATGTTATTTTGATTCTTATGTATTGCTTGTTATCAACAATTAAAAACAAATCAACTGGAAACACCAGATGGAAGGATATACCTTGACAGTTGCAAATCAATCTTAGTCCTTACTCAGTTGTGTTGACTTTTCAGGCTGCATTTTTCTCAGTTGCAGAAAGAAAAACCTATTTTTAAAAGCTCCTTGGATCAAAAGTGTGAAACACTCCTGCCCCGTTACTCTATCACAACTAATTTCCCAAACAAAAAGTCCATAATCCTGTTTGGTGATATTCAAGAAGACCCCCACACAAAGCTGATGGGTGGCTCAAGACTCATTTGAGACTTGTAATTGCCTCTATTTTATGCATAAAGATCAGGCACACCTTTTAGGCACACAAACTGTCAA